CTCAATCAATAACTTCGAACATAAATCATTTGCAGATGATATAAGAGAACAGAATGGAGCCGGCTCATCAATCCCGAATCAGCCCAATCAGGTTGTACTTCATCGTTTTATAAACTAACTTAGATTGTGTTTAATGGTTGCTTCAAATATTTAAGTTTTATTTTATTATATTTTATACCAGGATAACATATCGGTTGGTGGAATGGGAGAGCGAATTCACACCATAATAGATGACCAAAACAATCAAGGATCAGCACGACGATTAGACTTCTCAGATTTATAAGCTCTATGCAAGTCAAATTGGTTACCATTGGAGTTGGCAATAATCTTTTGTATGCGTAGACGACAAAACTGGTTGAATGCATTTATTTTAGTTAGGTTGATTGTATTATTTTTTCTTCAAAGTAGTACAAACCTGAGAAACAATCTTAAAATATTTGTGGGATCTGGATCTGTTTTGTTTTATGATTTCATTAATTAGTAGACTTGTGGTTTTTTTGCTGTCTTGTATATGGTCTTAATTTGATTACAACTTTTTGTTCTGTATATTCTCATAATGTATCATCAAGTTGTAAGAAAACATGAAATCCAATGCAAACTAATAGCTACAGTACCTGTGATCAGCGCAATAAATTTCCGTTAAATAGCTCCTCCCAATGCACCATGTCCAAACATTGTTGTTGGAAAATTGCTTTTATTCCTTGTATTTCCTGTTGAAAACTGTCTTCATTCCTTGTAGTTCATGAACACCTTCTAAATATCCCAACACTGCCACTGAACTGCCTTAATTCCTCAAATTTCCATTACAGCTTTTAATATTGGACTTAGGAAAACATAGAAAAGATAAAAAATAACTTAAATGAAAAGATAAAAAATAACTCAAATGAGCCTAATGTTTAGAATATATCATTCGAACTGTATACTTGAACCATATAATTTTTAAGGATCTTGATGGGTTTGAACCACCATCTCTTGAGATGCCCTTGCATTCTCAATTGCTCTACCTTTTGAGCTAAAGATCCAGGTTGTCATAGAATTCTTTTGAAAAACACAAACAATCAAAACCTATTACTAAAACAACAGTACACTACAAACTTGAACCTGTGACATTATCTTTTTCAGATAGCAGAGTTTTATTAATGTTGAGAATAGTTACAACTCAAGATCTGAGCTTTTGCCATCTTTTTGTAAATTATGTTTGAAAGAATGTAAATTAATGATGCATATTACATGAAGAATCTTACCTTTGTAGAAACCAATGGAGCTCTTTCACCTGGTATGCTCACATCTGGGAGGTAGCTAAAGTCTGAAGCTATCAGGGACATCTTTGGCAAAGCCCCATGTAAAACCTCTAGAAGTTTCTGCACATCCAAAGAATTTATATGACTGATAAAAGGACAAAAATTAAAATGGCATTGCTATGTACTCAACAAATGAGTTTTTGCATGCAATCCACATAGGAACTCTTGCCAGTATGAAAACAACATAACTCGTATAAAACTGAAGCATTTTTGTTACATATTTTATAGAAAAATAAACCAAGTATCCTTTACCAAGCAGCCAGTAGGTATCCAAGATCTTCGAGGCTTTGGAAATACTTTTGACCAAATGCTTCTTGCTGTTGAAACCGTGTTGCTTCCCATTGTAGAATTATCCTTGTCAAAGTTGATGATCTCAACGCAGCGCCCAATTAGTGGATCTTGGATTGGCTTATAAACCTCAGAGACGTAAGCGCTACAAAAATTCAACCCTCTAAATTGAATCTTTATTTATTTATTTTAAGAAGACAGAGGCATAGTTATTTTTCTGAAGTGAAATTTCATACTTATCTTGTTGCTTCTCAAGCCAAACTTCTAGCCAGGGAGAAACTTGATTTTCGGAATAGATGATATCATGTGGAAGATTATCAAGCACCTACAAATAAGAAGGCAGGAAAAGGAAATTAAATTTTGATTTGAAAGATGCTTTTATTGACAAAGGAAATGAATTCTAATGGGAGCCAATACTATGTATAGTTCTTCGATTCATGAGACAAAGGATTCCCCCAAAGGACCCTTTTGTTCTCAAATCTGGGTTTTTTCATTTGAATAACCACAACATCGACACAAAGGCAATCAATACTTTTTGAATTAATTGGAGCATTTTATGAAAGAGATTTATTGTGATTTCTTTACAGGTTAAGGGTCATATTAATAAGTTCTCAATTTCTTTTAACAAAAAAAATAAAAAAAAGTT